CGCCCTGACAAAACCGCTCTCTTGTCGAACTCCAGGAGCGCCTTCCGCAGGGACGCCGGCGGCCCGCACTCCAGGAACTCTCGCGGCGGCGGCCGCAGGATCAGCATGTTCCGCATGCACGTGGCGCGGAAGAACATGACGTAGAGGTGCAGCCACCACTGCTCGTCCGACATGCCCGTGCGGCCAGCGTCCTCGTCTCTCGCGCAGTCGATGGTGACGCCCTTGCGCAGCGTCTGGCCCTGCGACAGCGTGGAGGTCAGGTAGGACGCGTGCGTCAGGGTGAACCCCGAGCGGCGCACGCTGTGCGCCCCCGAGCTCTGCCATGTGAACTCCCTTTCGCTGGGCCTGAACATCAGCAAGCTCCGCGCCCGCGCCTCGGCCTGGCCGTCGTCGTCGGCGCCTTCGGCGCCCTGTCGCAGCACCTCGGCGACCTGAGGAGCCCAAAAACTTCCTTGTTGCATCCAAAGTGTGGCCTGGGAACTGCGTTCTGGCAGCGCGAGAACCCAACATTGACGACAGTTACAGGTTTTGGATGACCTGCTCGGATTACCAACATGATCTGCGGGCCCCATAGGGAGGGGGCTCCCGCCTGAGACTTCCTCCCAATTCACTCACAGACGAGGCTCCCGCCTGAGACTTCCTCCAAATTCAGGCTTGAGGAGCCCAAAAGTGACGACAGTTACAGGATTCCGATGACCCGCTCGGATTACCAACATGATCTGCGGGCCCCATAGGGAGGGGGCTCCCGCCTGAGACTTCTTCTCAATTCACTCAAAGACGAGGCTCCCGCCAGAGACTTCCTCCAAATTCAGGCTTGACGAGCCCAAAAGTGACGACAGTTACAGGGTTCCGCTGACCCGCTCGGATTACCAACATGATCTGCGGGCCCCATAGGGAGGGGGCTCCCGCCTGAGACTTCCTCGCAGTTCACTCACAGACGAGGCTCCCGCCTGAGACTTCCTCAATATTCAGGCTTGAGGAGCCCAAAAGTGACGACAGTTACAGGGTTCCGATGACCCGCTCGGATTACCAACATGATCTGCGGGCCCCATAGGGAGGGGGCTCCCGCCTGAGACTTCTTCACAATTCACTCAAAGACGAGGCTCCCGCCAGAGACTTCCTCCAAATTCAGGCTTGACGAACCCAAAAGTGACGACAGTTACAGGGTTCCGATGACCCGCTCGGATTACCAACATTATCTGCGGGCCCCATAGGGAGGGTGCTCCCGCCTGAGACTTCCTCCCAATTCACTCACAGACGAGGCTCCCGCCTGAGACTTCCTCCATTTTCAGGCCTGGGGAGCCCAAAAGTGACGACAGTTACAGGGTTCCGATGACCCGCTCGGATTACCAACATAATCTGCGGGCCCCATAGTGAGGGAGCTCCCGCCTGAGACTTTCTCCCAATTCACTCACAGACGAGGCTCCCGCCTGAGACTTCCTCCATTTTCAGGCCTGGGGAGCCCAAAAGTGACGACAGTTACAGGGTACCGATGACCCGCTCGGATTACCAACATGATCTGCGGGCCCCATAGGGAGGGGGCTCCCGCCTGAGACTTCCTCACACTTTACTCAACGATGATGAGGATGAGGATGATGAGTGGTGGTGAAGATGAGGGGTGAAGAGGATGATGATTGATTGTGGGTGGTGGTGGCGATGATGATGTTTGAATGAGGATGATGCCGATACCGATGATGACGATGATGTTCGTGAGCGTGTGAGAGAGTGCGAGTGATGATGATGTGTGTGAATGAGTGCGAGGAGAAGAGGGGGTGAGTGAGATCTCTCTCCTGCGCGGGGGTGTGCAGAGAAAACAAGAACCCCACTTTGGATGTGGGGAAAAACTACGACTATTACTACTACGACGACTACTACTATTACTACTAGTATTATTACTACTACTACTACTACTACTACTACTACTACTACTACTACTACTACTACTACTACTACTACTACTACTACTACTACTATTACTACGACTACTACGACTACTACGACTATCACTGATACGACTACTACTGCTACTACTACTACTACCGCTACTACTTCTACTACTACTACTACTACTACTACTACTACTACTACTACTGCTACTACCACCACTACTACTACTACTGCTGCTACTACTACTACTACTATACCCTTACCTACTACTAACTACTACTCACTACTAGCTGCTACGACTACTAACTACTTACTACTAACTACTACAATTACGACTACTACTAAGACTACGACTACGACTTACGACTACTACTACTACTACTAACTACTACTACTAACACTACTAGACTGACAACTGCTGCTACACTACTACTACTACTACTACTACTACTACTACTACTAGTACGACTACTACTACTAATACTACTACTACTACTACTACTACTACTACTACTACTACTACTACTACTAGTACAACTACAGCTACTACTACTAGTACTACTACTACTACTACTACTACTACTACTATTATTATTACTATTATCACTACTACTACTACTACTACTACTACTACTACTACTACTACTACTACTACTACGACTACTACTACTACTACTAATACCGCTACTACTACAACTCCGACGATGAGGAGAAGGAGGAGGACGGCGTTTACCGCTCCTACTAGTGTTGCTTTCCTAGAGGCTCCAACTCCTACGTTGGGTCGCGCTGGGATGCTTATGCTTAAACCTTGAACGCTTGGGTTGCGGTCGCTGCCCCGTCGACGTGGCCAATTTGGGGAGACCCGTTTTGTTTGGGAAAACCAAGAGAATTGGTTTGGGAAGACCCGGTTGGTTTGGGAAGACCCGGAGAATTGGTTTGGGAAGACCCGGTTGGTCTGGGACGACCTGGAAGTTGGTTTGGGAAGACCCGGTTGGTTTGGGAAGACCCGTTTGGTTTGGGAAGACCCCGGGAGTTGGTTTGGGAAGACCCGGTTGGTTCGGGAAGACCCGGAGGTTGGTTTGGGAAGACCCGGTTGGTTTGGGAAAACCCGTTTGGTTTGGGAAGACCCGGGGAGTTGGTTTGGGAAGACCGGGTTGTATCGGGAAGACCCGGATGTTGGTTTGGGAAGACCCGCTTGGTTTGGGAAGACCCGGAGAGTTGGTTTGGGAAGACCTGGTTGGTTTGGGAAGACCCGGGGGCGTTGGTTTGGGAAGACCCGTTTGGTTTGGGAAGACCTGGGCTTGGTTTGGGAAGACCCGGCGGTCTGATTCCGCAACATTTGGTTTGGGAAGACCCGTTTGGTTTGGGAAAACCCTGGCCCCGCCTCTTGGGGCCCTCATGGTCCGTCGTGAGGCCCGTGGCGCGTTCGGCCAGGGCTGGCCGGAAACCGACCGGACCGGGCCCCGGGGGGAGGGGTTTTGGGGAGGGGGAAGCATCTCACACGCCGATAACCCCAAGGGGTCGGCGGATCACTGACTTCCCAAGGGTACCCTTACATCCTTGCCACCATCTTCGGTCCATCTTCAACCACTTTCGATGGCCAGCCCCGCTCGAAGAGCCTTGGCATGGGCGCCCAAGGCCCTTGCATCCTTACCGCGCATCCTTCCTATACGGGTTGGCTGTAGCGTGTCGCGCCGCCGGTTCTGGTCCACCACGCTTCGGCGCAACACGCTATCGCTATCCGCTTCCCGGTCCTACAGCGTCAACGTCCCGAGTTTTTCCAAGCCTTCCGCTCCGCAGAGCGGAGCGACACTTTACCCGCTCACACAGCACAGCGTGTCGCGGGGGCCGCCGCTGCGACACGCTTAGCAAAAGCTCCCGACCGTAAACCGTGGGAGGTCCGCGCGGATTCCTTGGATCGGCGCCGATCACCCCTCCCCTGGCGAGCGAAGCGCGCCCTGGCTGCGGCGCCAGAGGCGCCGCCAGGGGGGGCTGGCGCAGATACAAGAAATCCGCGCGGAGCTCTGGAATCGACTACACGTCCTCCTGCTCCTCCTCCTCCTCCTCCTCCTCCGCCTCTGCCCCTGGCCCTGGCCCGCCTGCCTGCTGCTGCTGTCCCTGCTTTCCTCCCTTGCCCTCCCCTGCCCCTTCCCGCCTGTCCGTGACCCTTTGCTGGAGTGACCTTTGGTGTGGGCCAGGGTTGGACCTAAACGCTGTTTTGCTGGACTTCGGCTGTGTTTTGTTTTTCGTGCTGGCAGGGAGGTACAGGAAAGCAGATCGAGCAAGAAACGAAACACAACGTTTAGGTCCAGCCCTGGTGTAGGCCCACGGGGGTCCCCCGATCGCCGAGCGCGAGGCGGCAGTGGCGTCCTGCGCGCTCGGGTCTGGCCCTCCCGCGGCCCCTGAAGAGCCGCGCACCGAAGGTCACTCCTACCCACAGCCACCCTTGCGCATAACCGGGAACAGTTTAGGTTTGATGCTGATGATGATGATGATGATGAGGAGGAGGAGGAGAAGGAGGAGGAGCAGAAGGATGCTGGTGCTGATGCTGCTGATGATGATGATGATGCTGATGGTACTGATGATGATGACGATGATGATGCTGATGATGCCTATGATGCTGATGATGCTGCTGCTGCTGATGATGATGATGATGATGGTGATGCTGATGATGATGATGCTGATGATGATGGTGATGCTGATAATGGTGATGATGATGCTGGTGATGATGATGATGATGGTGCTGACGATGCTGATGATGCTGATGAAGATGCTGGTGATTGCGATGATGGTGATGATGATGATGATGCTGATAAAAAATGACGATGATGATGATGATGATGATGATGATGATGATGATGATGATGATGATGATGATGCTGATGCTGACGATGACGATGACGATGACAACGATGACGATGACGATGTTGTTGATGATGATGATGATGATGATGATGATGATGATGATGATGATGATGATGGTGATGACGGTAATAATGATGGTGTTTTCTCCAGCGTTGCTGAAATATCTGGGTTCGCCCCAGACTCTCCGAGCTGGGTGTGTGTCCTCGGTGTCACAGTTTCGGTTAACGCTGCTTCATTTTCTTCTAGAGGTGCAGCGCAACGTCCACTCCCTCACGGTGGACGACGCGCTGCGCATGTCGCGGGCAGTCGTGAGGCTGGCGCCCGCACCCGCCGAGCGGCCCAGAGTGCTGCTCGAGCTGCTGGCCGCGGAGGTGCTTCGCGAGCTGCGGAGCCTGCCGCCGGCGCGGCTCTGCGACGTGGTGACCACGTTTGCCCAGCTGCGGTTCAACCACGCAGATTTCCTTGAGCGGCTCTCAGGTCCGAGGAGTAAAAGATGCCGATGCCGTCGCTCGTCCTGGAGAGCCCTCGTCACCACGGCCAGATTCTCCTCGAAAGGCTGGTCACAGCGACCCCGGGAGAGGCGGTATCGGTACCTTTTTGTTCCCCTCTTCAGGGGCATTTGTGAAGCAACTTCCCACGTGTGAGCCCAGGCACTTGGCCGCGATGGTCTACTCTTTCACGAAGGTGCGCTTGAGCGACAGCCAGGTTTACCGGGCTGCCTCGGTGCATGCCACTCGCAGTTTGGTCGGATTCCGGACCCGGGATTTGGCGCTCACGCTCTGGTCGTTCTCTCGCGCGATGCAGCGCAGCAAGTCGCTCTTCATGAAATCGCAAGAGCACCTCAGGGGGCAGGACCTCTCGAAACTGTCGCCCGCCGACACGAGCATGCTGCTGTGGAGTTATGGGCACGCGGAGCTCGGGGGACGATAGCGATCCACACCCATTCGCCGGTCCCAGCCAGGTCACCCTAGGACCGTGGGGCCCATGATCGGCGCGTACAGTCAAGACGCTGAGCTAAGGGCCGCTTTGGGTTCAGGGGGAACTCGAGTTTTCGGGCCGTTCCGTAGACTTACGTCGTGGAAGCTGCCTGTAGCATACAATGGGGGCCCATGCCAAGAAACACCCTGTGTGCCTTCAGGGTGCCCTGGGGTTCATAGTTTTCGATGGTTTTGCGATGGAAGGCGTGACGTTCCCACACTAAAAATCCATGGACGTCTTGGTGTCTCAGGGTTGGGTTTCTTGTGGAGGGTTTCTTGTGGTCGGGCCAATACTGTAGACCCACCGTGGCAACAAGAAAGCCCCTTCGCTCCTTAGGATGTGCCCGTATGCTGGCACGATGACTGTACGCCTCCCTGGCTGACTGCGCCAGGCACCCACCGCTCCTCCTCCTCCTCCTCCTCCTCCTCCTCCTCCTCCTCCTCCTCCTCCTCCTCTCCTCCTCCTCCTTCCTCCTCCCCCCTCTCCCCCCTCCCCCTCCCCCTCCCCCTCCCCCCTCCCCCTCCTGCTCTGCTCTTCCTCAGCCTCCTCCTCCTCCTCCTCCTCCTCATCATCATCATCCTCCTCCTCCTCCTCCCCCTCCTCCTCCTCCTCCTCCTCCTCCTCCTCCTCCTCCTCCTCCTCCTCCTCCTCCTCCTCCTCCTCCTCCTCCTCCTCCTCCTCCTCCCCCTCCTCCGGGGGCCCGGGGCTGGCCTGGCGGGGACTTCGTGGTGGCTTCTTGGCCACGCCTCGGCCAGCCGGCGGCCGTTCGGGACACTCTGGGCAGCCTCCCGGAACGCTCTCAGCGGGGCGCGGCGGCGGGAGCGGCGCCCCCCGAGGATGGAGGACCGCCGAGAAGCGACGAAGACGTCGGAAAGCCCAGAGATCCTGGCGTTGCAGTTTTTTTTGTTCGACGGGCGTTTTCGCCAAGTTCCGGGCCTCGGGACCCTCACAGATCGATGCGGCTCGAAAGATGACGCAGAAAGATGGGGTCCGGAGCTCCGGTAGTGATTTTTGTGCGATGTTGCGTTTTTTGCTGCATCTTCGGGTCTCAGGGAACGCGCACATCGATGCGTTCCCCCTTGGGCATCCTGCGGCAACAAGGACCCATAGCCTTGGCATTGCTCGGACGTGTGCATCTGCTCTTGGCGAGGGCCATCCAGGAGCATCCTGGATCATCTTGCGGAAAATATGCGCACGAAATGAAACAAGCACGGGGAATGGACGTCCGAGCGATGGCGAGTAGCCGCCGCCCTCCTCAAGGAGGTAGGGGTGGACGGCGAGCTGCTGGGCGCCCTTGTGCGGCGCGTCAGCGACGGCTGCGGCGGCTTCCCGACGCACACGCTGCTGGTCACCTGCCTGGCGTTCGCGCGCCTGGGCTTCGCGCAGCAGCCGGTGCTCAGAGGAGGAAGAACTACCGATACGGCTGCCCTTGCGTCGTTGTCACCTTCTTGGGCCTCCTGGGGAGGCCCTCGTCGCCGCGGCTGGACTCGCTTCGAAATTCTCACCAAGCACCCCAGGATACAGTCGGACCGAGGTAGAAGATCGAGGTCGGTTCGGGGAGGATACCCTAGTGTTCTTCTTGCATGTTCTCGTGCACACTGGGGAGCGTACCCTGGGATGCTCTATGTGTTTTGGCCAGCGGAGGGTCTCATGTTCTTGACGGATGTTTTTCTGGCCAAGGTCCGACTGTGTACCTTTGCGTCGTCTTCGCCCTTGTGCTCCTGGGAGGCCCTCGTCGCCGCTTCGGGACTCGCTTCGAAATTCTGGTCCGAAAGCACCCCGGGATAGGTCTGGGGAGGCACGGCATCGGCGCCTGCTGGTTTCCCCAGGTGCTGGTGGACCTCGAAGATTCATGAAAGAAGGCATCAACACCAACTTTCGGAGCTCTGCGCGGATTTCTTAGATCGGCGCCGGGCCCCCCTGGCGGCGCCTCGGGCGACGCCCCTGGCGCGCTCCGCGCGCCAGGCGCCACCTCTAGGCCTTCCAGATGGGGTCGGAGTAGATGGGGTCGGGGGATCGCGCCGCATCGACGATACATGGACGATGCATCGGCGATGCATCGGCGATGCTCCGGCGATGCGTCGTCGACGTGGGCGATGCATCGGCGACGTCGGCGTGAAGCAAATCGGGCTCCACATCGAGCCGCATCGGCGATGCGGCGCGATCCTCCGACCCCATCAACTCCGACCCCAGCTAGGAGGCCTCTGAATCCGAGAGGTCCGCGCGGAGCTCCAGTTGCCTGTGCTCGATGCCGCTTCTCTTGCTCCCCCAGGACCTCTACCGCTCGGTGTACGCCCGGCTGCCCCGCCTGGACACCGCGCGCTTGGCCTTCGCGTTCTTCCTCTTCTCGTCCTCGGGCATACGCGACGAGGCGCCCGCGCGAGGGGGGTTCGACTGCACGTAAGAGTGACCCTTCGCCGGAGTGACCTGTGGTGCCGGCCCGAAAAAGGGGTTCACGCCTGAGCTTTCCGCTCCGGCCCCCCCTCCCCGGGGGACTGGCGCGCGCCTGCGCGCCTGAGCCTCGAGGCTCGAGAGGCGGGGGTCCATGCCAGCGGGGGTCAGCCAGAGCGCCGGCATCGTTCGGGCTCCTGCAGTGCCAGGGGTGCATCGACCCTGGCTCGGGCGCGGGATCCTGCAGGATGTTGCCGGATCCTGCAGAGCCCGACCGACCGTTTGGATCGACCCGGGTCCAGATCCCCGATGCGCCGCCCCGTCTCTGGCAGGGCCCCCCCTGCGGTGGAGCGGGAGCGCGCAGAGGGCTCGCCACGAGGCGGACGGGCCCTCCTTGAGGGAAGCGGGCCTTGGCCTTGAGCTCCAGGCGTTGCCACTTGGTCGCGCCGGACGTTCGCTCCCAGTTGCGGTTCGGGCCCTGGGGCTGTGATAGTCCCGGGGCCCTTGACGAACCCGCTGGACGGCCTCCCTTTGGGACGGTTAAGAACGACCTCGGTCTTGACGAATGAAGTGTCGGGGCCGAGTTGACGGCTCCTCTCGTCTTGGCGAACGAAGTGCTGGAGCTGAATTGACGATTGTTTTCGCCTTAGCGAACGTAGTCTTGGGGCCGACTTGGCGAGCGCAGTGAGCGTTTTTCCAGACATGCGCCGTCTCAGCCACTAGATTGGACCCAAGACTATCACAGATCGATCGGCCTCCAGCAAATGATACCGCAGAAGGGTTATGTCTGGAGTTCTGGTCGTGATGTTTCGCGATTTGGTCTGCAACGTCGGATCTCTGGGGAGAGTTTTCGCGGGTTCCGGGTTCCCGGGGCCCTCCACGGGCCACGAGGTTGTCCGAAAACAATTCGAGACGAAAGGCTGGTCCAAGGTGAAGACACCCGGGTTCAGGACCTGTTTCCGCAGGACCCGCTCGCTTACTTCATGCCAGAAGACTCGAGCTTGCCGGGATTCGGGTTTGTCGCCGCCTTTTGACGGTCCCAGCACGAGCTTCGACGCCTCAGTCTTCGTGGAACGTTTGTATCGGGAGAGTTCGCGCAAAGTTTCAGGCTAGATCCCACAATTGTTCTCACAACCCCGTCGGGTAGTTTCGAGTCCCCCGAACTCAAGTCGTGCGTCCCCCCGAGTGGAAAGGAGGACGGGAGGAGGTCGGGGAGAAGGAGGCGAGCAAGGGCGTCCGCGGTTCGATCGGTTCGGTTGTGTCGCAGTCGACTGCATTCGGTCGATTCGGTTCAGTCGTTCATTTCGTCGTCGTTGCGACGCCAACCCTTCTAGGCTGGTTGCGGCCCGTGGGCTTCGTTCGGTTTTTGTTCCCAACCATCCTGTGGTGTTGGGTCCTCGTTTTGAAGACAGCGCCCCGCGTCCCCTCGCCTCACCTTCCCGCCCTCCTCCGCCTCCTCCCTCCTCTCTCCTCCCCCTCCTTGCGTCTGCCCTCTTCAGTATGCGTCTCCCCCACCCAGTACAGCGCTTCGTGGCCCCATAGGGAGCTCCACCGAAGGCCCAAGTGGCTGCTCTCGCATGCGGGACCCCCACTGTAGAGCTTTTCGGGTGGCCTCACAGGGAGCTTCACCGAAAGCCCCAGTGGCTGCTCTCGCATGCGGGACCCCCACCCAGCACAGCGCTTCGTGGCCCCATAGGGAGCTCCACCGAAGGCACCAGTGGTGGTGTTCGCATCGCCTCCTCCACCCAGTAAAGCGCTTCGTGGCCCGATAAGGGGGTTCCACCGAAGGCCCCAGTGGCTGTACTCGCATACGGTTCCCCCACCCAGTACAGCGCTTCGTAGCACCATAGGGAGCTCCACCAAAAACCCCAGCGGCTGCGCTCGCATGCGGTTCTCCCACCCAGTACAGCGCTTCGTGGCCCCATAGGGAGCTCCACCGAAGACCTCATCGGCTGCTCTCGCATGCGGGACCCCCATCAATACCAATACAGCGTTTCGTGCCCTCCTACAGTTTGGTGGTGGTGGTGGGGGCGTGGATCGCACTACCTGCCGCCTGAATCCCTTGTAACATTGGGCGCTGGAGTCGACGCCGTGGGGCGCTGGATCCACCGCCCCTCGTAAAAAAATGCGTGCTGGAACCCATATGTCTTGAAGGCATGAGCCTCGCAAATATTGGGCGCTGGAACCACCGTTCCTCGTAGAAATCGGGCGCTGGAACCCGTTTGTCTTGAAGGCATGAGGCGCTGGAACCACGATCCCTTGTAAATATGGGGCGCTGGAACCCACCTGTCTTGTACGCATGAGCTGCTGGAACCACTGTTCCTCGTAACCGACGCCTTGGGTTGCTGGAACAACCTTCCCTCGTAAAAATTGGGTGCTGGAACCGATGTGTCTTGCAGAAATGTGGTACTGGAACTTGAAGGCATGAGCTGCTGGAAACACTGTCCCTCGTTAAAACTGCGCGCTGGAGCCACACCCCATTTAGGGCTATAAAAGTATAAGTAGGGTGGGGAGAAGGATAGGAGATAGGCCCCCAGGGGAAGTCCGAGCATCGTAGTCACGCCTCGTTCCCAACGGGGCCTGTTCGCACGCGCTGGTGCACGTGCGATGTCTCGGTCGGTCGGTCCGGATGTCGGTCGGTCGGTCGGTCTGGTCGTTGGTTGTCTCTGTCGGTCGTCGTTCGTGGTCGTCTCGGTCGGTCGGTCGGTCGGTCCCGTCGTGGGTCGTCGGTGTGTCGGTCGGTCCGTCCGTCGTCGTCGTTCGTCGTCGTCTTGGTCGGTCGGTCCGTCCGTCCGTCTGGTCGTCGGTCGTCGGTCGGTCGATCCGTTGGTCGTCGTCCGTCGTCGTCTCGGTCGGTCGGTCGGTCGGTCGGTCGGTGCAGTCGTCGGTCGGTCGGTCGGTCGGTCGGCCCGTCGCTCACCGTCGTCGGTCGTCGTCGTCTCGGTCAGTCCGTCCGTCGGTCGGTTACTCGGTCGGTCGGTCGTCGTCGATCCTCGGTCGTCGGTCGATCGGTCGGACGGTTGGTCCGTCGTCGTCGTCGGTCGTCGGTCGTGTCCGTCGGTCGTCGTCTGTCGTCGTCGTGTTCGTCGTCGGTCGTCGGTCGGTCGGTCGATCCGTCGGGTTGTCGGTCGGCTGATTGTAGTCGGTCCGTCTGTCGGTCGGTTGTCGTCGTGGTCGTCGGTCGGTCGGTCCAGGCGGCATCGCGTTCGCGCTGCTTCGCAGTTACCGGACCCGACGGCATGGCATTCCCTCTAGTCGCGCCTTTTGGGCCAAACAGGTTACGGATGCAACGATGATGAAGACATGACACATGCCCCCCTGACGCCTCCCATACGCATAGGCGCACTAAAATTGCACGACCAACAATATTCACATGACTGGCTATTTAAGTGAATAGTTTGGTAGAGACAATTCTGACCAGGTGGGGCATGGGTTAGTGGTGGTGGGGGCGTGGATCGCACTACCTGCCGCCTGAATCCCTTGTAAAAATTTGGCGCTGGAGTCGACGCCGTGGGGCGCTGGAACCACCGCCCCTCGTAAAAAAGTGCGCGCTGGAACCCATATGTCTTGAAGGTATGAGCCTCGCAAATATTGGGCGCTGGAACCGACGCCGTGGGGGCGCTGGAACCACCGTTCCTCGTAGAAATTGAGCGCTGGAGCCCGTTTGTCTTGAAGGCATGAGGCGCTGGAACCACGATCCCTTTTAAATATTGTGCGCCGGACCCCATGTGTCTTGTAGGCATGAGCTGCTGGAACCACTGCCCCTCGTAAAGGTTGGGTGCTGGAGCCGACGCCTTGGGTTGCTGGAACCGCCTTCCCTCGTAGAAAGTGTGGTGCTGGAACCCACCTGTCTTGTAGGCATGAGCTGCTGGAACCACTGTCCCTCGTAAAAATTGAGCGCTGGAGCCGACGCCTTGGGTTGCTGGAACAACCTGCCCTCGTAAAAATTGGGTGCTGGAGTCGATGTTTCTTGCAGGCGTGAGCTGCTGGAGCCATTTTTCCTAGTAAAAATCGCTCGCTGGAGCCACACTCCGTTTGGGCTACAACAGTATGAGTAGGGTGGGGAGAGGGGTAAGAGATGGGCCCGGGCCGGGGGAGTCCTAGCATTGTAGTCACGCCTCGTTCCCAAATGGGGCTTGTTCGCACGCGCTGGTGCGCGTTCGATGTCTCGGTCAATCGGTCAGGTCGTCGGTCGGTCGGTCAGGTCGTCGGTCTGTCGGTCGGTCGTCGTTCGTGGTCGTCTCGGTCGGTCGGTCGGTCGGTCGATCTCGTCGTGGGTCGTCGGTGTGTCGGTCCGTCCGTCGTCGTCGTCGTCGTCGTCGTCGTTCGTCGTCGTCGTCTCGGTCGGTCGGTCGGTCCGTTCGTCCGTCAGTCTGGTCGCGGTCGATCGTTCGGTCGGTTCGTTGGTCGTCTTTCGTCGTTGTCTCGGTCGGTCGGTCGGTCGGTCGGTCGGTTCGGTCGTCGGTTGTCGGTCGGTCGGTCGGCCCGTCGCTCGTCGCGGTTACTCGGTCGATCGGTCGTCGTCGGTTCTCGGTCGTCGGTCGGACGGTTGGTCCGTCATCGTCGTCGGTCGTCGGTCGTGTCGGTTGGTCGTCGTCTGTCGTCGTCGTGTTCGTCGTCGGTCGTCGGTCGGTCGGTCGATCTGTCGGCTTGTCGGTCGGCTGATTGTCGTCGGTCCGTCTGTCGGTCGGTTGTCGTCGTGGTCGTCGGTCGGTCGGTCCAGGCGGCATCGCGTTCGCGCTGTTTCGAAGACGCCGGACCCGACGCCATGGCATTCCCTCTAGTTGCGAATCTTGGGCATGGTAAATACATGACACATGCTTCCCTGACGCCTCCGATACGTGCGTGCTTACGCGCAGTAATATTCCACGGCCATCAACATTCACTTCACTGTAGGGAACTTCACCGAGGGCCCCAATGGATACTCTCGCATGCGGGAGTCCAACCCTGTAAGGCGTTTCGTGGCCCCATAGGGAGGTC